AGCACATAGTCGACAATTAGCTGCGTACACAGCGTCCAGGGTTGGTAAGAGGGGCTCAGCAGGGAGGTTGTTGAGTGGAAGAATCACGGGAAAGCCGAAAGGAGTGGGCGATCAAAATAAATGTAACCAAGAGTGCCGACAGAATCGGGGGTGGGAAGAACAACAAAACGGTACAAAGAAAACACAGTACAGAACTAATGTATAGATAGGGAAGGGTGGGTTGATGGGGGTGGGTGTGGGGTTGGGGGGTGGGCCGAGGGTAGGGTTGGACGGAATAAGGAGAAAAAGATGGCCCCTGGAAGGGAGGAATGAAATGACACGACAGTGGATGCAGGAGGCGTGAAAGTAAAAAGCGTCGAGAAGGAAAGGGATAAGGAACAAATTGAAAAAAAAAGCAATTGGGTTAGTGAAGATTATCCTAAAATTGAAAAAAAAGAGACACCACCAGAAAGTATGGCGGTAAAGTCCAAGCATGGTCCGGAAAACTAGGTAAAAAAAAAAAAGGAGGAGGAAACCATGTGCTGGGAGGTCGGACCCGGCGCGGAAGTCAGCGAAGGATCAGTCACATGGAAGAGGCAGGGGACATGGCAGGGGCCGCAGAAAGCAGATAGTATTCACAAATAACAGGTAACGACCTAGTGGCAAGGAGTAAAAAAAAATCAACTAGGCTGTCGGGGAAGAGTCACCGACGGATGACAGGTGAAGTGACAGGCCAGCAGGGGATCAAAACAAGAGGAAGCGGCCTGAATCCGAAAAGAGTAACCCTAGGGCAGATTTATCCCAGCCCAAAATTTCAGGCCGAGGATAGAAAACCCAGGATCAGTGCTCTGCGGCCCATGAGAGACGGTGGAACTGATGTCCCGAAACGGGAGTACACAGAAAAAGAGCCAGGGTCAACCGCGCAAAGTCTCTCGGTTTTAAAAAAAAGTCACAGGGGTATTATGGTCGAGGGAAAAAAAGGGCGAGCATAAGACGGAGGGACAATGAACAAAAAAAATACCAACACTACACAAAAGACAAGAGAACAAGAGGGTACAAACCGACAACAAATTCAGGGAGAAAAGTGTAGTAACAGAAAGGTGTGAGGGAGAAGAGGCGCTGCACATGTAGGGCAGGGTGGCAAGACGTGTGAACACGAAGAGGCCGGTCAGTAAGAGAAGCGCGAGATCATCCTCTTTCACTGACACAAACAAGAACACGAATACAGAGAGAAGGCAGACGCAGAAAAAAAAAATGGATAAGGGGGGGGTGGATGGGGGGGGTGGGTTGCAGGGGGGTGTGAGGGGAGGCACAGCACGTGGGGTTGGTGCTGTTGGAGAAAACGGGTGTGAACGAGGCGTTATTGAGGAGGGAAAGGAGGGGGGTGAAGCGGAGAAGGGGGGAGAAGGGCGGTGGTATAACGTGTTGAGTGGCAGGGTAAGGGCGGCGGGTGGCTGGGGGATGGTCCGGAGGGAGGCCAGGAGAATAGAGGGACGAATAGAGGCGCAAGAGAGCCTAGCAACGGTGAAGGTTCGGACTTGACGATATGCGGAGGTGTCGGGTGGGTCACGAGGGGCAAGGAGTAGCGGACTGGGCGCTCGGTCCGGTAGGTGGGGGGGAGAAAGGGAGGGAGCGTGCAGGCTGGGAGGAGAGCGGCCCTGTCGAATCCAAGAAAACAAATTGTGGGTTTGTCGAGCCTACCGACGTTTGGGAGAAGACCCCGTTAAAAATCCAGATGATTGCGAAGAGCAAATGAATCATCTCGGGGACCGAGGGAGTCAAGGCGACAAGGTCCGAGCCGGAAACTAGAGTACACAAGGGGGGAGGCCCGGCCAGGTTGGGTTAGCGCGGGGGGGTGTGGTGAAAAAAGGGTGAGGAGGAGAGGGGGGAGAGAGGGAGGAGGATGAGAAAAAGAGGGGGAAAAAAAGGGGGGGGAAAAAGGGAAAAAAAGGAGGAGGGAGGGGGAAGGAAAGGGGGCAAAGCGGGGGGGCCGGACCGATGGTTACGAAAATAAATATCGTACAGAGAAATAAGGAATAGAGTCCCAATACGAGACCCGATCGGCGATTACATTAACATTTATGTTCAATCTAACTTGCACTGTCTGTTGTTCTTCTTCATAAAGCATACAAAATTGAGCCAATGATGAAGAAGGAGTTTAGACAAGAAGTTGATAAATACTGAATGTTAGGAATTCGAGTTTTTCAAAAAGTATAAGGGGCACTACGACGATATAGTCAAATTAAACGCATATATATTATATGTTCCCCCTCTAAATTCCCGTTCCGTTTTAAAGACACGATAAAAAAAAAAAGCAGGGGATTTACCCGCCCGTGCCATATTTATAAAAGTGTACTTTTTTCGAACAATTATATGGTGGCGTTTAATGTTTAAGTAATACAACCGTAATAACAACACTAAAGTACGGAAAAAAAATACAAAGGAATACCTATGCCCCCTGGCCGAGGCCGGGAACTGTGCCATGAAATTGTGGGGCAGCTGTAGTCCGATTATACCGCAGAATGTAATTGAAAAGAGTGTGTGACGTGGGTCACCCGGGGCTATAACTGATATTCACAATCACAGTTATTCCATTGCCCGAAGGTCCGAATTCCCACGCCAGTTTTCGTTATAAGCGAGATGATGAGTAATTTGATTGGGGTGGGGGGGGGGGGGGGGGGGGGTGATTGGGTGGGGGGGAGTGGTGGATGGGGCGGGGGGTTGGGGGGGGGGGGGAGTAATGGGGGGGGGGCGGGGGCCGTATGGAGCGCTTTTCTTGGTCTTAGGGGGAGGGGGGAAGGGGGGCTTGGGGGGTCGGGGGGGGCTGTGGGGGTGGGGAAAAGGTGAGGTATTGCCGTTTAATAGTGAATCATAACGCATTTCAACAAATGGGGGGGGATAGCTAATATTGTTAGAAAAATGATATTTTTTCGCCCCACTTGCCAACGTTGCCTCAAGCAATATTTTTTCCCACGTCCTCCTGTTTCCCCCGACTCCGACTTATCGTCCCGTACGGTGTACGGGCCTCAAGCGTAAGAACCACGAATACGGGACTGTACTACAAAATGATGTAGTTACGCCTTGAGGTACATATTCTATTCGAAGATTACCTCGTGGGTTAAAAGGATTTTTGTTATTAATTTAATTATACCCTGAACAGTGAGAATTTTGCATTTTTCATACACTTATTTTAAGTAAAAGAAGCTTAGTAACTAAGGAATGTCAAAAACAAACATTTCGCTAAAAAGTCATTATGAGCAATACAAATTAATAGTGCACAAACTATTAGCAATAAAATAATCTGTAATTAACAGTAAAAACACCTACAAAAAGGTAAAACAAGAACAATGTAAAAACAACCGACAAGCAAGAAGTACTTACATAAGTACGTGAACTACTTGACTGACTCTAATCCCTGGGGTTGGGAGCCTGGGTGGACTCAAGCTACTGGGGAGGTAGCATCTAAGCAATCAGCTACTGTTCTTTTGAGGGAGGGAGCCTGTAAGGCTTTGCGTAGGGACACCTCCTGGGGGGGGGGAGGTCAGAGGACTAAAGCTTATTTGGGGTGTAAAGAATTATAATTGCAAATCTTATTCCAAAAACTGTCATTAAAAATTCCTTAAAAAAAGCTGGCATTTACCTGTTTTTTTAGATTATTTGGGTTAGATAATGATATTTTTTACATAAATCCCAAGGGAAGGTAAATAATGGATGGCTAATTCAGGTAATATAATGTATAAATGTAAAGTAAATTCCTCTAACCACTTCAATTTTACTCTCCACTATTGGCACAGAACTTCTAATTATATTCTTAAATTTGTAATTAAAGTCTTTTTTCTGGCCATGCCTTTCCTTTTATTGATTTTAAGGGCCAATTTCATTGCAAGTAGCTTGCCAGCCCTCTAGCTTGAAGAATTACGTTTCTAATTAACAAATTATTATATTTTTTCAATATCCACTGCTTTCTGGCCAGTTCTACACATTTTTTAGAATTAGCCATTTTGTTTTTGCCCTCAAAAGTATTTTCAAAAATTTACTTTGAGCAAGACACCATTTTTTAAACAAATACTATCATCTTCCTCCTTCAACCCCCAACCTTTTTTACTCTTGTTTCCCCCCCACTTCTGTCACATTACATTGGCTGTAGCTTCATGACGTTTGTTTACCCTTTAGCATCGTCTCACCTAATTGTTGAATTGGATTCTTATCTTCCATGGTTGCAATCTTTTAAAATTCTTCTCATTTTGGCAACCTCTTTCTGAAAATTTTAGCTCATTGCTTTTCACAGACAGAAGAAATGGATGCAAGTATGTTTATATGCCTTTGTTATTTCTTTCCCTTGCAATTATTTGGTCTTAGAAAGACCCTATTTGATTTGCTATATAGTTTTAAATTTTTTTTTCTCCTTTCATTTACAAAGTTTTAATTCTTCTAGCTTGGTAGGATCTCCCTTAATAAAAAATGTATATGTTGACTAAATTGTATTTCTCATTTACTTTTTATTTATTAGGTTTTTCTTGTTTTGTATTTCATACATCCTGTTTATTACTTTTTGTATTACAATTTGAATTTCCATACTGTTAAAGATGTTCAGCACAGGAACAGAAGTATCATATTTGCTTTTAAGTAATTAGCTTTAAGAATTTCCTTTTTACTATTTTCTAATTTTGCATCTTAATACGCAAAATTCTTCACCGCACAGGTCTCTTTTGTTTTGTACTACATTCTTCATTTATATATATATATTATTGTTTGACTTTTATGTGAATATACACACATGTGATGAGACTTTGGGATGTTTCCAGCTCTAAACTTTCAATATCAATCAACATGAGACAGTATTAATGTAATGAACATTTTAATAAAACATTTTTTAAAAAAATCTTATTATAATAACTTCTTTAAAATTCAATCCTCTCCAGCTGAAGCACAGAAATTAATTAATTAAATATTTCCATTTTATCCCATTATCTTTTGAGAGACAGCTTTAGATTACATGAAGGGTTACATTAAAATTAATCTTATCCATCATAGGAAGATTCCTCTTTCACCTCTTTCAAAAACATAATATGATCTAAAATATTAAAAAAAAAAAAAAAAATGCCTCCAACAGATGACATAGGATTTTATTGCTGGCATCACATGCGATCAAATAGGTATAGAATGTTAACTTCACAAAGTTCTTGCAATTCAAGAAAGAGAATAGTGGGGAAACATGTTTTCATATGTTACATGTTCCCTGTTTTATGATAAATGACTTCATAGTAATGTGGGTATGCACAGGACTTGAACCATGTAATCAAGATCTGGTTAAATACACCACATTCAAAGACGACATGGTGCTGAATGGGGTTGTAAAACACAGCTGTATAGAACCAACAGAAAATATTCACACCAAATTCTAAGAAATTTTCCTCAGGTAAAATTAATAATTTGCCAAGAGATCTGAACATTGGGTTGTCAAGTCTAAAGAGTTGCAAGTAAACCAAACATTAAAGATTCGTTTCTACTACTGCATTATTAACGCGCTCTGTATGCGTTTCTCCAATCCGTGGCCAAATTCATTTTGATTGACATCTGTTGTCCAGTCGACAGATAACGGAACGGATAATGTTCAACAAAGTTCAACTATCTATCCGTATCTCTGTGGAAGCATTGGGGTCACATGACAAAAAAGGAGCAATTAGGTGTTGTCACCAAAACATAACGACAGAAGTAGCAATGAATGCTGGATCAGGGAAAGAATGCTTTGCTAAAAAATACTTATTTCTAAATTAACATCATAGCGAGAAATCTGTGTACTAAAAAAAGACAGCAATTAACTGAATTTAGTTAAAAGAAAAAAAAAAAAAAAGAAAAATAAAATAACTGCAACTACAATTCTAGCTTGTATCAGGTACAAAAAATATAATTCCAAGTTCATGAAATGACAATTATTTCCTAGTTCTGCATACACTTTTACTTACACTCATACTTTTAATAAAAATGAACATCTGACTATATCAAACTGCTACAGCAAATCAGATAAGGCATTAAAAGATTTATTTTTTTTTTCCTCTTTTGAAACAGGTAAAAACTAATAATGTTATTTATAAATTAAATTTGATAGCCTTTTAAATATTCACTTGAATTAAAAAGTATTTCAAATTTGTATTTCTCTATTTATAAATATACATTTTCGACTAACACATATTTGTAAGCACATCTTTCACTTAAAATATATTTTTAGCAGTCAGTGTAACTTCAACTGTAACACCACTTTAAAATTATGTTTTTGTAAGAAATATCCTAGAAGCTGAAGAACAAACTCTGGTGAATTTTTTAGACGATAGCACACTGAAACAGGACCAAAAAATTTAGTTTTAAGAATTAATTTACTTGATGAAAAAGCCAAAGTTATATAAGCCAAAACTGCATGCCACGCCCATATGAAGATAGATTAGTGGTAAAGCTGACAGTAACCGAATTTACCTTTTGGGATCTTGAGTTCGAATCCCATACTCTTTTCCCACCCTGTTTGCAACTTCTTAGCTTTGTGTTCCAATATGATCTATATTTGTGTTTTATAATATATTTCTATTATTATGTGCATTGAATATAATGTTTTATTTATGCTCTTATTTATTTAAATTTTCCCCTCAAGAATTCATTTTGAAAGTTATAATATGAATTTAAAGCATATTCCATGTATATATATATATATAAAATTCGTTTCACTTTTATGTGAATGTACACACATGTGACAAGATTTAGGGATGTTTCCAGCTCTAAACTTTCAATATCAATCAATATGAAACAGTATTAATGCCCTGAACATTTTTAATAAAACATTTTTTTAAACTTATTATAATAACTTCTTTAAAATTTAGTCCTTTCCAGCTAAAGCACAGAAATTAATTAATTAAATATTTTCATTTTATTTACCTTATGTATACATATATATATAAAGAGAAAAAAAAAAGCTTATCTTTATAACTTCTTCTATAAAAAGCTATGAATTTTAAATTTATAAATTAAAAATAATATTTTGTGGATTATGCATAAAATATAACTGCGCATAGTGCATTTTAAAACAAATGAGATTTCTAATAAATTATCCTGCTATGACACAGAAGAAATTGATGCTAAAATGTTATATACTGTTTTCTACCCAAATTTGAGCATATTTTAAAAATATACAACCTCGCATATCGGTGAATGGAATATGAGCATAGCAAATTTTGTGTAAATATTGCGAACCTTTCTTTACAATTACTCTGTATTTTTAAGGTACCAGCTATTTTTAAATGTGTTTAACTTTTTTATTTGTTTTGAAGTAACAGTACATTTTAGTTTTAATGATATATTATTTTGTTAATATTTAAGGTTTCTAGAAATGCAAAGAAATTTTTAAAAATTACTTCAGCTTCTATGCAATTAGAGATGCTTGTAATGTGCATTATAACCTCACTTATCTAAAAATTGCAAACCTGCTTTATTTTCACAGTTCATAAGCAGAAATAAAAATTTCCAATAACATCAAATTTAAGCATCTTAAGAGTCTGAATCCTGTAAGTTAAATCAGAGATATCTAGTGGCAATGAATGCAATTAACCACCGAACTTCCGTAAGCGTAAATTCAATGCAATAGTGTAAATGGTCGTCCGTTTGCGTGATACACTCCTCCCAATATGCTATGCGTTTGTAATGCACTAATGGAAATGAGGCTTAATGCGATTAATATTTCCTAGCAGTGCATCTTTCAGCAATGGCAATTTGTACTATGAAGCAACAGTTCTCGCTAAAACATCCAATGAAAAAATGTGTGCGAACTTATAGGTTTAGAAAATCCCAGATGATCTGTAATTACTCTGCTACATACAAGTTGTTACTGCGAAGTTTGGAGGTGCAATAGCTTGGGGCTATTTCTCATCATCACAGGAATATATCTTTTCTATGAAACAGACAGGCTTATCTCGATATATTAGACAATTCCGCATTGAATGCATAACAGCAACTGTTTAGTGTGGACTTATTCCTATTTTAACACCATGATGCTCCTGTTCCAAGCCATACAGAATTGCTTTGCTAACTTGAATGTCAAGAAGTTGAGTATCTGTTGCCTTCAACCCTAGACAGCATCTAAAGAATGAGCCTGGACATACCAACCTATGTCAACACTGTTCTTTTGCAAGAATGGCACTGAATTTCAATGCAGGCCTCCAAAAACTGGAGGCTAGTCTTCCTAATTCAGAAGTAATTATTACTGTGGCTCAAAACAGATCGGTATCATATTAATTTTTTACTTATTTTCAGGAAAGCCAACATGTCAAGATATTCTGACATTCTTCATCAAATTGTGTTTATTACATGCACAAAAAATTATAAAAACTGAAAGAAGTGTGAAAACTACAAGAAAAACACATTACATCATTTGTCCAGAAAGTTCAAAATTAAGCTAGCAATCCCCCCATCCCAAAAAACAGAGCAAGTAGCTTCAAACACAAATAAACTAATTGGATAATATAACAAATATTTTAAAGATCATGATAATATTTTAATAACAATAATTTAATTATAAAATTTAGTTAAAAATGTTAACACTTAGATATAAACATATCATAATAAAATAAAGAGTATAAATTAAAGCTCAAATGCAAATGTTAAAATACTAAATATTTTAAATTAAGAGTATTTATATAATTAATGATGTAACAAAGCTGTGCTTTTCTGGATCAAACTAATGGCAAAATTCAAATTTTACATAAAAACGAAGTCCTTCTTTTAAGTAATGATGTTACTAAATTGCACATATAAACCAATTCATTATTTAAAAATAGTTAAATTTAACAGAACACCATTCAGATAAAAAAACACATACCTTTGAAACTTCCTTTGGCAGCAAGCTGTAATCCTTGGACAAACAAATCATGAGCAGTAAACACTTTCTGAAGAGAAGAAACAAAATTCAATTCAAGAAAAAATGCAATAAAGAAAAATTATCTTCAACTCCAAACATAGACTTTGGCTTACTTGTAACTGAGCAGCACAATCTTGACTTTTATCACAATCTAAGCATGATGCTCTGTTTGTACTATCAGGAGCTCGTAGAGGACCTTTGCAGAATGAACATTTAAGGGCCTTAATAAGTTAAAAAAAAAAAAAAAAAAAAAAAAAAGTTATCTAGCAAATAACATATTACAACAATATAATGCAATAAAGAACATTAAAAACTCAACTAAGCAAAGAGTATATTCAAGTAAGCTGAATGGAATAAGGTTGGTTTTTGGCATGAATTAACCATGCCTATCTTCATAACACAATAGACATACAAACACACACACAAAATAACAATAAAATAAATAAATAAATAAATAAAATAAAGAGGAAATATTAAACTACAGTAGTGATTTAAAGCCACAAACAAACGAACAAACAAACAAACAAAAAATGTTGATATGACAATGTATTTATGGAAGTGAGAAAATAAATACTAAAATTTAAAACTATGAATGCATACAGATATATGATTATGAAACCTACAGATAAAACCTAGCATCCTGATGTTCACAAGAGATACGAGGGCCATCCAGGAAGTAGATTACGTTTCCGTCTGTGTCCGCTAGGGGCGGGGCTAGCGCGGCCATCTTGGGGTCAGAGCGTTGCGCAGCTGAGTCTGCATCTAGCTGTGCTAGTGAGAGGTTCGTGCTGTGCTCCGTTCAGATACTGTGACGGTTTGAAATGTCTGCGTTAATTGAAAATCCCGCGAGCTGCGAGGTGCGCTCAGTAATAAGGTTTCTGACTGCAAAAACTGTAAACCGATAGAAATATATCGGCAGCTTCGTGAAGTGTATGGGGACAACATTATCACTGAAGGTGGAGTGCGTCAGTGGGTCATAAGATTTCAAAATGGCCGAACCAATGTTCACGACGAAATCGAAGTGGGAGACCCAGCATAGTGACCGCCGAACTTCTCGAAAAAGTCGATGCTAAAGTCCGTGAAAATCGAAATTTCACAATAAATAACGGAACTTTCTTTGAGTTTTCCACAAATTTCGCGAAGTTTGTTGCACGAAATCATCAGCGAAAAGCTTCGTTACCACAAGTTTTGTGCAAGATGGATTCCAAAAATCTTGACAGAGGACCACAAAAATCAGCGAATGGCTGCAGCGTTGAACTTTTTGGACGCTTACCATAAGGATGGTGACTCTTTACTCGATCGCATCGTTACTGGTGACGAAACATGTGAACTGTGAAACGAAATTGCAATCAATGCAGTGGGGGCACACAAGTTCTCTCCAAAAACCCAAGAAATGCATGCAAACAATGTTGGCAAGGAAGATGATGGCGACTGTTTTTTGGGACAGAAAAGGTGTAATTTTGGTGGACTTCCTGGAAAGAGGCACTACAATAAACTCTCAAAGGTATTGCCAAACTCTCCAAAAACTCAGAAGAGCAATTCAAAACAAGCGCAGAGGAATGTTGAGCTCTAAGATTGTTGATTCACGACAACGCCCGGCCCCACACGGCAAAATGTCACTCGTAAAGTTCTTGAATCTTTAAGTGGGAGTTGTTTCCTCATCCGCCGTACAGTCCCGACCTGGCACCGAGCGACTTCCACCTATTCCCAGCAATGAAGAAGTGGCTGGCTATGCAGCGTTTTGATGACGACACACAGCTGCAAGAAGAGGTAACGAAGTGGTTGAAGGCGCAAGCGGCCGAATTTTTCGACGAAGGAATTTCCAAGCTCGTACATCGCTACGATAAATGCCTTAATTTGTATGGTGACTATGTAGAAAAGTAGTATTTGAGTGTGGCTTTCATCTGTATATAATAAAATTTGTTTCCTATACTTTGTTTATTTTTTTATTCCAAAACGTAATCTACTTTCTGGATAGCCCTTGTACATCATTGAAACATATCCATCCACATTCTGAACAATACATTTAAAATAAATAAGTTTCTATACAGTACAAAGTCTTTAATCCGGACTCCTCGAGACTTCGGCGAGATTTAGGGGTTTTCCGGATTATAGATCATCAATTTAAATCTGGTAAGATGGCTGTTACGTAATGCCGTCAATAAACTTCGGAAGATATCCACGAGACTGTTTTATGTATAACTTTATTGAATGAACACGAGACTTTTAATGTATTAATGTTTTAATGGCGCGAGTTTTATGTATCCTTTTTTTTTGTGAATGGCATCAGTTTTCGGCGTTGCCATGCACCTTCTGATCCGTGTTTGCTTAGTGATAGAAGTGTTCTATGAATTTAATGTTGATATGAATTGAATTATTATATTGTATTTGTGTTCTGTTTATTGAATAATATCCTAGTTCCTGCTTTACTGTGAAAATACTGACGTCAAGTATTAACAAATTTGTTTATTCGTCAAGAAACATGTGCAGAATTCAAGTAGATAAGATTTATTTCTTTTTCTATAAATATTGAAATTGTAAACAGATATTCTAATAGTAGACTCACTGTGTCTAATTATTATTAAGGTTTATATACGTATATTAAGAACCTGTGCAGAACAACCGTTGACGGGTAGTCTCGGCGTAGTTCTGATATTTTTTTATAATATTTTCATTACAAGTGGCGTCCGCGACAGGACGCAGTGAGGTTTCTGTTAGAATTATTTTGTTGAATGGTATTTTGTGAAGTAAAGCTGGTTTCATTCATCGTTTTATTATGAATCCTTTAACTGCAAAACGCGGAGGATTGCGTTCTTCCTTTACCAAGACTGTTAATGTTTTGAAAAGCGAAATTGGTAAGGATGATTTTTCAGCAGGTATAATTAAAGATAAATTTACAAAGTTGCAAATGTTACAGAAAGATATTGAGGAACTTAACGAGCAGATTTTGAATTTTATAATTTCGACTGATGTAACGCCTGAAAAAGTTAACGATGAAATGGAAAGCTGGATATATTTATAAGGATGAATTTATTACCATTTCTCGCTTAGTTAGTGAGAAGTTAGGTGCCTTAGAACAGATAAATTTAGAAACTAGGTCGCAAGGTAGTGTTTCTAGTAATTCACCTCGTAATACTAGATCGTTAAAGCTCCCGAAAATAGAGCTTAAGAAGTTCGATGGAGAATTATTGAACTGGCTTCCGTTTTGGTCTCAGTTCGAAAAAATACACGAGGACCCTGATTTGCACGAAAGTGACAAATTTCAGTATCTTGTGCAAAGCATGAAACAAGGGACGCGCGCTAGAGACTTTATTGACAGTTACCCAATGTCTGCGAAAAATTATTCAAAAGCTATTAGTGCTCTTAAGGAACGTTTTGGGAATCATGATTTATTAATTGAGGTATACGTGAGAAAGCTTATAAAGTTGATTGTAACGAATGTTAAGACAGGCAGTAGTGAAAAATTACCATTGCCGCAATTATTTGATAAGATTGAAGCACAACTAAGAGCTCTCGAATCCTTAGATATTAAAACGGAAAGCAATGCTTGTTGGTTATATCCCATGGTAGAATCATGCCTCTCGGAGGAAGTCCTCAGAGCCTGGCAAAGAAGCCCGCTTTTTGGAGAAGTAAAGGAAAGTCAGAATATTTCTCGCCTAACTAATTTGATGAAATTTTTAAGATGCGAAGTGGAAGGGGAGGAAAGACTTAAGTTAGCGCGGAGTGGATTTGAAATTTTTGGGCAAAAAGACAAGTATTGCAATAAATCGAAAAGAGAGTTAAAAAGCAAATTTAAATCGAAACAGTTAACGAATGTCCCTACGGCGGTAGGTTTTCTTACGACGAAAGATAATAACTGTATTTTTTGCGATAAACTACACGATAGTAAGGACTGTTTCGAAGCACACGCTCTCTGTCATTAGATGAGAAAAAGAATAAAATTAGGCTTAAGAGGTGTTGCCTAAAGTGCCTTTCGCCTGGACATGTTGCTAAGTCGTGTAAACAGTTTGTACGTTGCTATGTGTGTGGTAAGGCTCACACAATTTCTCTCTGCCCGGATCTGCAGATGCAGGAAACTCAGGAAAAGGCAACAAAGCCAGACACCATTCAGGCAACTACGGCGGGACAGATAATGTATTCCACGGAGGTAGCTCTCATGACAATTAAAGTCAATGTGTTAGGAAAATCAGGCACGAGAGAAGTACTAGCGCTTCTCGATTGCGGATCACAAAAATCGTACATTTTGAAGTCTACGGTACAGGAATTAAGACTAACTCCCATTGCAGAGGAAACTGTAGCTCACACGCTTTTTGGGGGGTTTAAAATTGAACCGAACGTTCATAAAAAGTATCAGATCAAGCTACGCTCTCTAAATCCGTATATGAGAAAAGAAATGGAATTTGTGTTTTTGGATCAGGAAGCTATATGTGGAAATATAGCATGCGTACCTAAGGGCCCTATTTTAAAAGAACTTAAGTGTAAAAAGATATGGCTTTCAGACATAGGAACAGGTTGCCCGAAGATAGAGATGCTAATAGGCAGTGACATTTACGGTTTAATTCTTACAGGGAAAGTAAAACAGCTTGATGGAGGTTTGATTGCAATTGACACTACATTAGGATGGACTGTTTGTGGTCCACTTAAGAAGCATTCCGAAACACAAAGTAGTGGTATATCTACTCTGAATGCAAGTCTGACATTTCAGGACCCAAACGCATCCGATCATTGGAACTTAAGAGACAATAGGAATTTCAGATTCCAGCAGTAATTCTACAAAGAACGCTGAAGAAGATATTGCTTGGGAACAGTTTTTAGGCTCCTTAGGTAAAAATGAAGAGCGAAATCACGTAGCAGAAAAGCTTCGAAATTCTTTTTATGTCGATAATTGTGTCACGTCTTTTGACACAGAGGAAGAGTTGAAGGATTTTATGGATAAATCAATTGACATTTTGGCAGAAGCTAAGATGGACCTACGGATGTGGACATTCGGTCCTATAAACGACGTTAATTAATAAAATTTCGAGGAATGATAATTCGGAATCTCTTTCTGAGAATCAGATTTCAGTCTTGGGTATTCTATGGGATAGAACGGATGTTTCTATTCATATTAAGCCTGTACGAAATCTAGACAACCTGTCAAAAAGAGAGATTTTGTCCTTAACACACAGGGGATTTTCGATCCGCTAGGGTTCTTAGCTCCTGTATTATTACCGGCTAAGTT